GGGGCGTGGGGCGGGTTAGGTCGGCGTCCGGGTTAGCGTTGTCGTAAGGGCTGGATTTAGGATTTAGCGTCGGGGTCGACGTCAGGGCCTGGGGCTGCGGAGACCAAACGCTGCGCGTGGTATTAGGGTTCGGCCAGGGTTAGGGTTTCGGGTGGGAGCCGGGACCCAGGGCTCCAGGAGACTAAGCGCGGTGCAGCCTGGTCTCCGTCCCGGGGACTCTAGGTGGCTTCAGGTCACTGTGCGCTCTGGTGTACTTTCTATATCCGGAATATTCCAGAGTCTTTCATGCTGTGCTGGGATTCCCACCCCTGGAGGTTCCTTTCCAGCTGTGTTTCCGTTAGCGGCATGAGACCATTCTTTTTTTGTGTGATGCGCAGCACAGAAGTTTTAATAAGAAACAGGCAAAAGTCCTAGTCTGCTTTTTTTTTTTTTTTTTTTAAAGAGCCAAGACCATAATCCCACTGGGATGAGGTTGTCTGTAAAGAAAAAGCTGGGGGCTTGTGCTTTGCTGACCACATCTGCACGTCCTGTGTGAGCCACTTGCACGGTGCCTCCTGTTGAGCCATTGGTGGTTATAACAGGCGCATCAGCACACAGGCACTGCACTGTAATTGTTTTGGGATTATTCTTGTTTCAGTGGTATTTCCATGCACTGCTGAATAGAGTGCGGGGCAATGTTAACAGTCCCGTGTGCAGTAGGCACAGGGTGGGGAGTTTCTTCGCTGTCTATAAAATCCGAGGGTCACAAAAGAGTGCAAGTGTGAAGATAACAAACTGTGTTTCCCCTTGTTGGGGCTCCCCAGGCCCAGCTTTTTGGTGACAGCTCCAGCGACCATCAGACCTGGAGGAAATGTGACTGTCGGGGTTGAGCTGCTGGAACGCAGCCCCCCGCAGGTCACGGTGAAGGCTGAGCTGCTCAAGAGGGCGTCAAACCTGACCGTCGCAGTCCTGGAAGCAGAAGGAGTCTTTGAGAAAGGTGAGAGAAACCTCTCGGCCTCACTCTTCGGCAGGAACAATCCCAGTGTGCTGGTGAAGCGAGGGAGCACAGGAACCCCAAACTGCAGTGACTCACACTTAGGTCCCGCTCACGTGGTGTCTTCCTTCCGGCTCTTCCAGAGACGGGTTCCTTCCCCCTGTGGCTGTGTCATCAACACGTGGTTCCCAGACGGTGGGGACAGCGCAGATCCTCACTCGGAGGTCTGTATGGCCCAAGCTTTGGGGGTGGCTCTTGCCATGGCGTCCACGTCAAAGGCGCAGGAGGCTGGAGACGGAGGCTGGCACGTGCGCTCCGCTTTCCAGTCTGAGTTCTAATCTGGTCTAAAATTATATTTGGATCAATGAATGCCTTCTTTTTAAATGCTAAGGGAAAAACAATTTTAGGGGTCCTTGCTTACATTGTTTTTCACTAAAATGAACATTTATTGAAAATTTCCCTACTTGCAAGAGCTAAACCCAAGTCACTCACGACTCTACCACCTAAATATAAACTATTAATTGGAAGCATGTTTAGATATTTGTTAGAGGTCAGAAACGGCGGCATAAATTCCTGTAATGTTGAGTTATTAAAAAAAATCATTTAAAGGCACATGGTGAAGGCTGGATGAGATTCTACAATAGTTCTTTATATACATTGATCTCTGCCCACTTAGAGAAATTAATGTTATTGCCAAATGAGATACAATACAAGCTTAATTGCATGTGTGGATCTTTCTCTGCTGCAAGCTGACTGGCTGGATGAGTAAGTTTCAGATCAGAGTCAGGAAGAGGGGTGTTCATGGGAGACAGGCCTCTTTGTCAGCTTACAGGAACAGTGTCGGGGAGGTGGGGGTCCTGTTTCCCTGGAGACAAACTGTAGGTTAATTCTTGATTCAAATTGAGTCCTAGCACCTCCACCACATGCTAGTTATATGGTTTTGGACAGGTTACCTGGTTGCTCTGAGCATAAGTTTCCCCATAGGTAACAAAAGTGTCCTTTCTGGACAGAGTTCTGTAACACCTGTTAGGCGCTCAGTGCCCAGGAGTTGTTAGTGTAATAATACTGAAGAAGAGGTGTAGAAAGCATCACCGGGGCAGACCGAACTTGTGGCACGGAACTGTCATTTCTCAAAATCAGTACATCCTGGTCTTATGAAAACCCTGAAGTATTAAGCCATGGGAGGTAGTACTTAAGACAGTTCCACATCTGTTGTTTGTCCATTAAGAACAATAATTCTTGTTGTGGGGCTGGGGATTTAGCTCGGTGGTGCTGTGCCTGCCTTGCAAACACAAGGTCCTGACTTCGATCACCACTACAAAACAAGCCAAACAAAACCCCTAAAGCCCCCCTAAAAAACAAAACCTGGCAATTTTGGCTCTACTAGTATGGTAGTTTTACTGCAATTCAGAGGTCCAGAATTACAGGATTTTGATAAATATTTAGCTTTGCTTGGGTATTTACATACTCTTCTTCTAGAATCTCTCCTACTACTGTTGTTTCTCCAGTCTCCTTTATCAGTCTCTCTTCTGAAGATACATGGCCTGTGGCTTAGTTTTTAACTTTATTCTTAGATATTTTTATTTTGGAAGGGTCACTCATCCTCTACCCCTGGGTAGGATCAGGAACTACTCAAGACTGGGTTGGAAAACTCCATCCTAGCGGCAGAATGGATCTCGAAAAGGAAACAAGGAAAATGCTCCTCCTTTCACAGTGGATTCTGACTTACTTGTCTTAGACAGTTTCATCGAGGCTGCCATTGCCAACCAGGAGCATTTTCCCTCTTACGGAGCAGAGTGCCTCTCTGTGATCAGGGGCTGGAGTATTGTTGTCAGAGCAGGTGCTTCCTGTAACACGAGGACATAAGAATCAAGCCATTTCTCTCTCCCTGTCCTCACACGTTTTGCTTTATCTGACTTCTCCAGTTGTAACGATAAGTCGATGAATCAAGACTTCTAGATCTGCAGCGTCTGCATCTTCATAGAATTTCTACTTTGTTTTGTATTTTTTCCCTTCATCACATAACACAAACAAATGCATCTGAGATCTGATTGCTTCATTGGTTTTCTGTGAGGTCCCCAGGAGGAGATTTGTCTTCTAGCAGAACTGAGCAGAGGGTCTGTCTTTGAGTGCTTGTTCCCAGCAGGCCTGGGCTTCTCAGAAATCCCCCAGATGCACTGGAAGGGGTTCTCACTGTAACCAGAATGTATTTCTTGCTGAATTTATGTCAGAAATAGTAATACCAAAAGATTAAGATTGTAGAATGTGCTTTAATAAAGGCAGAAAAACACTTTCCTTAGGGAAGAGTTCATTTGTTTGCTTGACAAACGTGGGGGAAATTTTATTTATGTTTCCATACTTAAGACCAGGAGCACTGGTGGTATTACAATTTATTTTAAAAATACATCAGTCCTATGTTTACTGGGACTGATTATTATTATTTTTTTATTTTTGGTGAATACTAGCTCTTTAGAGAAAGAAGGTTTTGGAGTTCTGTAAAATGTATTGATGCCTGTTTTTGTCTGTTTTTGTTTTTTGAGACAAGGGGTTGTAGTCATTGTTTGCAAGGGAATAGATTTAAGACAGGGCGCATCATTTATAGGATTATTTTATACTATTCACCCAAAAAGTCAAAGGCAGAGGAGCGCAAGAGGTCTGTGTACTAGAGACCCAGAGAATCCAGCCGAGGGCCTGGGTCCCACAGCAGTGTCCTGCACAAGTTTAGCAGGAGGCCAAAGCCCACAGCAGTGTCTCATGCAAGTCCTTACCGAGGATCTGCACCGGGAAGGCCCAAAGGCCAGTGCTGGAAACTAGAAAGCCAGCTCCGGCCGGGTGAAGGGTCCGCACCACAGCCAGGAAGTGACGCTCAGAGCTTCCCCGATGAGAACAGTGGCCATTCCCAGCGAGGACCTGAGCGCTTCCAAAGATGAGAACAGCCAAGTTCGCATCAGGAAAACCAGCCATGGCAAGCTTCTCCCAGAAAGTCAACAGCGAGTGATTTTCCTCTCCACTTCTCTTTTAATGCTGTTGGCAGAGGTCCTCATGTGGGTCCTCCACGCCCAGACTGTGCTGATTCAATTCATCTGGGCCTTCCAAGTTCATCCGCCACAGGTTCTCACGATGCATTTCAGGCTGGCCTTGAACTCCCTGTGTATTCCAGGCTGGCCTCAGGCTCTAGGCGATCCTCCTGCCTCAGTCTCCTTGGTCACTTGCTATTTCTTTTCCTTAGAATACTGGAGAGTTAATGGCGTGTGTTTACTTTCTAGTTTTTAAGAATTAAAAAAAAAAATCTGCTTTGTCTTTTATTGTCTTTCTCACTTTTACGATGGAGTATTTTCTTTTCCATCTTGGTCAGATAGGGGTGAAAAATTTTAAAGATTTGATGTATTAGCTGAAAAGCTTAAAAAAAACAACAACAAACCAACAACCCATTCAGTTCAATTAAGGATGGCTTTCTGGTGGAAACAAAGCCCTGCATGTACACTCCCGCTGCCCAGATCCAAATCAGCTCCGTGGTTCTTGTGAAAGCGGGTAATGAGCAATGTGTAGGCGTGTCTCCCAGACAGGTTTCCACAGGCAGGCTGAGGTTCCCTGGGGATGAGAAAGGGCGTTGGCTCTTCATTCACATGTCTGTGCGGAGCTGTGTATATTGACAAGTAGCTACTGCCTGAGGATGAGGGACCCCCGTGTCGTCACTGTGCTTGGATTCAGAACCAGGCTACCTGGAAGCCGGGGCTGTGGGCATCATAATCTCATCAGGCTTCCGTTCTGTCAGGGGCAAAACACCGCAGTGGTTTCTGCCTCATACAAGTACGTGCTGATTGTAAGGATTAAATGTGGTAGCATATTTAAAACCCTCAACACGCAGGAATTCTTCCAGAAAATGGTAGCTATTGTTATTTGAAGAGAAGAGCACCAATTAATGTCAAAGGCAATTATTGATGATCTTGAACTGGGAACGCTATAAAAGGTAGAATACTGACGAGGGAGGGAAGTGAGTTAACACACAGCATATTGAGTTTCTTTTTAGTGCCAGGGACTTTATGCACAATATTTAATTTTTACAGTCCTATGAAGTAGGCACTGTTATCGTCATCTTGGAAATGAAGAAACTGAGGTTAGGAGAGAGCAATTTTCCTGACTTAACCAACTTAAATTAACAGATGTTGAACTTAATTCTGTCTGAGGTTTAGGTTGTATAACTTTTTGCGGGGGTTTTATTTTGTTTCTTTCTTTGTTTTTGTTTTGTGGTCCCGCGGAATGAGCTCAGGGCCTTGTGCATGTGAGGCAAGTGCTCTGCCACTGGATACCCCCAAACCCATAAGGTTTTTTACCTGCTTGTAGGAGAAAGGCTGAAACGTTTTTTGTTTGCCTCATAGGGGGATTTCTTTTCTTTCTTTTTGAAACAAGGTTTTGATAAGAAGTCCAGGTTGGCCTTGAATTTGCTGTGCAACTTGGCTTGGCTTTGAACTTGTGATCCTCCGGCCTCAGCCTCCCAAGTGCTGGGTGTATAGGTGTGAGCCATGCCTGGCTTCATTTTGGGATATTGATGCCATTTTCTTTTTGGTACTGGGGATCGAACTTGTGCTTGCAAGGCAGGCACGGTGATGCAATGCTGTATTGTTACCTTCCTCTGAAGTCATTTTCACGGTTGCTTACAGTAGTTTAATCTTAGATCTAATGAAGTCTAGTTTGAATCTAAGAATTATGAGATGAAATGCCAGTTTGCCGCTAACTTCTTAGGAGCTTCATAGAATTTTGGAGCTGGAAGGGACCTCAGAGAAAAGCCAACCAATGGGCTACTTTCTGCTGAGGAGACAGAAGAGAGGTATTGTGTTTGAGGACCTGCCCAGAGTCATATTGCTGCTTGGTGGCGAACCTGCACACAGATTGTAGGCTTCCTGATCTTTAGCCCTCTGCTATTTTCATTGCTCTGTAGGAAGCTTCCATAATGTGTGGGGTCTGTGTGTAAGACCTACGATGTTTTTGCAAATGTTGATCTT